AGCCTCGCATCCTAACAAGCAGGGTACCCTCCCCGGCACAGAAAAACTTCCTTGTGAGCCCTGAACCCCCAAAGTTACAGCGCTGAGAGGGTTTAGGGTTTAGGGCTTTAGGGTTTTAGGGTTTATGGGGTTTGGGGTTTAGGGTTTAGAGCTTAGGGTACCAGGAGGGGGGGGGGGGGGGGGAGGTTCTTTAAAGGGATGGACCATGAGCGCAGAGTCCCTCAAAAGGGCAATTCTCTGACTAAGAACGGGAACGTGCCTTCTGGTCAGCTTGGGATCGAAGGATCATGAAACTTGTAGTCAGTAAACCCTAAACCCTAAACCCTAAACCCTAAACCCAAAACCCTAACCCTAAACCCTGACCCCAAACCCTAAACCCTCACTTAACTTCATCCCGACACCTGAATCAGGATGTAGCCACTCGGTCTTAAACCCCGCTGGGCAGACAAGCTGCGCATCCTGACACGCTCACGAGGCCTGAGGCGGTGGATCCTGGACATATCCATGCGGGTTCGTTCTCTGATTAGGATGCAAGGTCTTTGGGGTACGTAATTAGGGTCATAGTCTAGGTTTGTTGGGGTCATTATTTGGGTTATCTGTGGTTATTTGAAGTAATGATTTTAGGCTATTTAAGGTATAGGTATTTAGGGTATTTAGTTTAGGGTATTTAGAATAATTGCATAGGGTATTTAGGGTCATTGTTTCAATTAATTTAGGGTACTGATTAGGGGTTTTTTGGGGTATTTAGGTTTCAGCCTGCCAAAGCTGTTCGGGATTGAATTTACCACAACTCGGAGAAAGAGAGTCTAGGGTTTAGGGTTTATGGTTTAGGGTTTAGGAGTGTCAAGTTCTGGAAATCGCTGCGCCATCGCGAGGTTCTGCATCAGGAGCCGGCAGAAAGTATTACAACTTATGCAACTACACAAATCTAAGCGAATTATCTCGAATACCGCACTAACAAAATAGGTCCCTATGCCCTAAACCCTAACTAAAATGAGAAGGCCCCTACAGTACCACCTCCGACGTTCCATGGGCATCCACTCGCCTCCTGTGCATCCCAGCTGTCCAGATTGATTAGGCTATCTCCCGGAGTCCTGCACATACAATCAACCCGGAACCTTGCAACGCCCAAGGCTGCACCAAACCCGAAACCCTCAAACGATTCCCGAACCCTAAAACCCCAAATCCTGAACTGTGTCCCAGCAGCTAAGAGAAAACATGCGTCCCCAATTTTTTTTGTGCGGGGCTACCGCTGGGCGGCATCCTGGTCCTTGTACTCCCCAAGAAAGCCCCAGTCAGCTCCCCTAAGGATGCAAGCAAAAAGCATTTTCAGCACCGGTTCCTGGACTTTAAAGGTAGCTACAGGGTCCGTGAGTATGGTCCCTTAGCACCACGAAAGGGTTCTGAAGTAGGGGCCCGTGGGTTGTTTCGGGTATATCAGCGGTATATAAGGGCCCCCCCCCCCCTTTCAGGGCCCATATCAAGGGACCATGCAAATTCTTCCCCTGAATTGGCTCCTGGCTCAACGCCTGAAGTTTTAGCGCGTCGGGTTTGGGGGCTGGGGGGTTTCGGAGCGGGTAACGTCGAACCCTAAACTCCAAGAGCTGCAAACCAGAAGCCTCATGCCCTCCACCCCCCCCCCCCCGAAACCCTAAAGCCTAAAGCCTAAAGCCTAAAGCCTAAACCCTAAACCCTAAACCCTAAACCCTAAACCCTAAACCCCAAACCCTAAACCCTAAACCCTAAACCCTAAACATAACACAACCTAAACCCCTGGACCCTGAAGCCCCCAAAGCCCGAGGCCCTGAACCCCCTCAAACCCTAAACCCTAAGCCCGAAGCCCTAAGCCCTAAGCCTTAAGCCCTGAACCCTAAGCCCTAAGCCCCCGAAACCACAAGCCCTTCATAGCCTTACACCCTAAACCCTGAGCCCTAAAACCTAAGCCCTATATCCTAAGCCCTACGCCTTGGGCCCTGAACTCTAAACCCCAAGCCCTAAGCCCCCTAAACCATAAGCCCTTAAACGCCTTACACCCTAAACCCTAAGCCCTAAACCATAAGCCCTGAAAAGCCTTACACCCTGAACCCTAAGCCCTAAACCATAAATTCCCTAACAGACCCTAAGCCCTCCAGCCCAACCCCTGCCGCCTGATCGCGGCGGGCAGGGCTTCGCTTGAGCGTTCTCCGCCTTTAGGGCTCAGGATTTAGGGTTTAGGGTTTCGGGTTTAGGGTTTGGGGTGTAGGGTTTAGGTGGTTGGAGTCCAAGGATCCCAATGACACCCTAAAGCCCCAACACCAAGACACCCCAATAACACCCCCAGCCCCCACCCCCCCCCCTCCCCTGGCAAAAAAGAAGAAAGTTAAACCCCAGGAGCACCAAACGCTAAACCCCAAAAACCTAGTCCCTTTCGCAACTGGCCTGCTACACCCTAAACCCTAAAACCCCAAACCCGAACCTCCTTACCCCCCCCCCCCAAACGGGTAGTAGGGGAACCCATGATCTGAGGATCTGGCAAAGTCACCCCTGCCGGCCGCGGGGCAGTAGTGGTTGTCCTCGGCTCGGGGGTGTTCAGCCCTCAGCCCGAAACCCTAAACCCTAAACCCTAAAACCCTAAAACCCTAAAACCCTAAAACCCTAAAACCCTAAAACCCTAAAACCCTAAAGCCCTCCCCTAAACCCCTAAACCCCTAACCCCTAAAGCCCTAAAGCCCTAAAACCCTAAACCCTAAACCCGAAACCGAAACCCTAAACCCTAAACCCAAAACACTCAACCCCAAAACCCTGAACCGGCTCAGGGGCTACATGGTTCGTAATGGGGGTGTAGCGGTTCAGGCTTTCGGGTTTAGGGTTTAGGGTTTGGGGTTTAGGGTTTAGGGTTCAGGGGGTCACATAAGAATTCGGAATCCCAATCATCCTTGAAAGGAGTTATATAAGGGGGGTTCGGGTTTGGTGTTTAGGATTTCGAGTTTAGGGTTTAGGGGTTTAGGGGTTCAGGGATTGAGGGGTTTAGGGGTTTAGGGGTTGAGGGGTTGGGGCGTTGAGGGGTTTAGGGGTTTAGGGGTTTAGGGGTTTAGGGGTTTAGGGGTTTAGGCGTTTAGGGGTTTAGGGGCTTAGGGGCTTAGGGGCTTAGGGTGGATTTGGGAAAAAGTGCTTAGCGTTTTGGGGCTAGGTTAGGGGTTAGGGTCCAGGGCTTTGGGGCTTAGGGGTTTGCGGCTTAGGGTTTAGAATTGGGGGCTTGGGGGGGGTTAGGGGTTCTAAGGGTATCAAAGTTGCACGGGTTCTTGTCTGACGCTCTTGGGCAGTATACAAGCTTCCTTGAACATTCACATTGAGCCTTGAGGCAAGAAGAAGTATAAGCATTAAGCTGCCTTGCAGATGCCTGGTGTTTTTATGGTTCTTTGCACCAAACCCTGAAACTCAACACGCTATTAAACCGAAACTCCAAAAGCCTACTACTACACTGAACCCTAAACCCCAAGTATCCCCAAACCCCTAAACCCTAAACCCTAAACCCTAAACCCTAAACCCTAAACCCTAAACCCTGAAAACACTGGATCCCTGCTGAGCCAAGACAGGTCGCTGTGCAAAGCCTGCAGTCCGTGCCGTTGGGACCATAACTGCCAGGTCACCATGAGACGGTTTAGGGGCATAGGGATCAAGGCTTAGGGTTGAACCCTAAACCCTAAACCCTAAACCCTAGACCCTAAACCCTAAACCGCCTAAACCCTAAACCCTAAACCCCACACCCCACACCCCACACCCTAAACCCTAAACCCTAAACCCAAGTAGGGGGTCAGGGTCAGGGTCAAGGGTTGAGGGCCCCGCACAATGGCTTAGGCTCAGGTGTCGATGTCCTACATATCAGGGTCCGATCGGTGCCCTCTTCCTAAATCCCGCACCCGGGTTTAGGGTTTAGGGTTTAGGGTTTAATTCGGGTTCAGGGTTCCGAAGACCCCCCCATCCTGAACCCTAGATTCACTAAACTGCCCCTTAGCTGGCCCTACCCTAAACGAAACACTAAACCCGCAGCCCCAACGCGGAGAAAGCCCCAAAACAAGCCCTGAGGGGTTTGACAGTTCCCCCCCCCCCACCCACCCGACCCCTCCCCCTAAGAAGTTTGTCTTGCCTGCAAGACTTTAAACCCTGCACCCGAACCTAACATAGGGGCTTAGGGTTTAGGGCTTGGGGTTTAGGGTGTAGGATTTAGGGTTTAGGGTTTCACTTGTAGGTATGGCGGTAATGACGAAAGCACATGGGGCCACAGAGGAACAGGCGGGCAACAAGGATACTCGGGCTCGCATCTGTTAGGGCCTGACATATAAAACTGAAGGCTTGGGGTTGAGGGTTTGGGGTTTAGGGTGTGCCGTTCAGGGGTAAGGTTTAGGAACCTAGACCCTGCTTTTTTGGTTCCTCTACATAGATACCTAGTTCGTATAGTTTGCCTAACGCATTCAGTGAAAATTGCCCCCACCCCTGAAACAAAAGAACTGCAATTGGAGGTCGAGGCAACTCCCTTAAACTCCACCTCAACCCTAAACCCTAAACACGAATGAAACGCGACGTGTAGCCAAAAGTTCTCGTCTCACAAGCCTCTCCTTGAGGATTCATGGTACTTCGTAACCATTTATAACTGTACTTATAACTGTACCTGTAATTATATTGGGGCACTTAAGGGGCTTATTTCGAGAGTTATAAGTACAGTTACAACTGGTTAACAAGTACCCTAAAGCCTAAACCCTAAACCCTACACCCTAACCCCTACACCCTAAACCCTACACCCTAAACGTCATAATTGGTTATAGTATGTACCATGAACCTCCAAGCCCGTCATGCCAGGCGATCGAACTGAAACTCGCTCGTGTAAGCGGGGCGCTTGCTCCGCCCTCCTCCGCCTTGGAGGGTGGGTTTAGGGTTTAGGGTTTAAGGTTTAGGGTTTAGGGTTTAGGTTTCAGGGTTTAGGGTTCAGGGTTTAGGGTTTTCCTGTGGTAAATGACCGGGACTCAGTTGGGCTGAATGTCCCATTTGTCCACCTGCTTGCGTTTCCTATGCTCGGCCAGAAAGTTTGCCTTCATGAAGAAGCCCGCCAAGAACTTGACGTGCTCGTCAGTGCATTCCCGCATCTGCGACCCTAATCCCGCAACCCTTCAAACCCCTAAGACCCTAAGACCCTGAGACATCCAGACCCCAAGGGGCCCTCAGACCCCAAGACCCTGAGACCCTAAGACATCCACACCCCAAGACGCAAAGACCCCAACACCCTAGTACTCCAAGACCCCCAGACCCCCAGACCCCGAGACCCCTAAACCCTAAACCCTAAACCCTAAACCCTAAACTCTAAGACCCCACGGCGTCAAAAGGCACCTTCCAGCTGCACAGTCGCAAAGCCAGGATGGAAAGTCATCGTGATCGACCTGGGCCGTGAAAGGGGCATGGGTTTTAGGCTTAGGGCTTAGGGGTTAGGGCTTAGGGCTTAGGGCTTAGGGCTTAGGGCTTAGGGCTTAGGGCTTAGGGCTTAGGGCTTAGGGCTTAGGGCTTAGGGTTTAGGGTTTAGGGTTTCGGTTTTTACTTTCTTGTTTAGGGTTTGGGGAGCTTCTAAAATAGGGTTTTAGGGCTGTTTTAGGGTTTGGGTTGAGGGTTTCAGGGGCTCAGGGTTTAGGCTTTCTGGGTTTTACGGTTTCAGGGCTTTAGGGGTTTTAGGGTTTTAGGGTTGTAGGGTTGGAGGGTTTTAGGGTTAGAGTTTCGGGGTTTCAGGGCTTAAAGGTTCCAGGACTGAACGGTGAAACTGTTTCGAGTTTTAGGGTTCAGGGTTTTAGGGCGTAGCGAGGAGGGTTTTCGGGTTAAGGGGTTTGGGGGTTTAGGGTTATAAGGTGTAAAAGGCGTATGGTTTTCAGGGTTTCTGGCTTTAGGGTTTTAGGGGTTAGTGTTTAGGGCTTCAGGGTTGTAGGGTTTGAGGAATACAAAAGATTCTTCCTTCTAAGGGCAATTTAGGGATCATCACCTTGTTTCTTTCTTGGGGGTTTGGTCTAGGGGAGAGGAGGTTTAGGCTTTATAGAGTTAGTTGGAATAAGGGGGCTTAGCACTTGAGGCTTCGCTGCTCCTCTAGACCCAACAGTAACCTAGGAATGAGAAGGGTGCCCTTTTTGGTTTGGGCTTAATTACAAGGGAACCTAGGGGGGGCAGCATCCCAGAACCCTAAACCATAAACCCTAAGTAGCATAGAGGGGGAGTAGGGCAACCCATGAAATACTGTAAGGGCCTACTCTGCTCCCATGTGCGCCGGGACTTCACGGAAACAATGAGGCCCGCGGCGCAGAGCATTCACTGAAGCCCATTTCCCCAGACTCTAAACCCTAACCCTAAAACCCTAAACCCTCAACCCTAAACACTCAACCCTAAACCCTAAACTCTCACCCTAAACCCTCAACCCTGAACCCTAAACCCTACACCCGAAACCAAAAAACTTTCGGAGAATCAAGGTCAAAGTTCGTGCTGATGGAAGGCAGGGGTTTGGGCCTAGGATTTGGGCAGTGGCTGTGCATGGCCTTCGGCAAAAAGAAGCACGAGGCCTCATACTCGAAACACAAGTAGCGTTAGGTTCAGGCCCCACAGATCCGCTGGGAGACCGACAGGGGTGAAACGACCTGAACCCTAAATGTACACCCTATGTGGTATAAAGCGGTTCATAAGGGAACCACCCTAAACCCGAAACCCGAAACCCGAAACCCGAAACCCTAAACCCTAAACCCTAAAAAGGGGAATAAGGACTCCGGACAGGGGCCTCGGGTGTCAGGCATCTGTCCCATCCAGACACTAGTGTTTAGGGTTCAGGATTTAGGGTTTAGAGGTTGGTTTAGAGGTTTAGAGGTTTAGAGGTTTAGAGGTTTAGAGGCTTAGAGGTTTAGAGGTTTAGAGGTTTAGAGGTTTAGAGGTTTAGAGGTTTAGAGGTTTAGAGGTTTAGAGGTTTAGAGGTTTAGAGGTTTAGAGGTTTAGAGGTTTAGAGGTTTAGAGGGTTAAGAGGTTTAGAGGTTTAGAGGTTTAGAGGTTTAGGGGTTTAGGGGTTTAGGGGTTTAGGGGTTTAGGGTTCAGGGTTCAGGTTTAGAGGTTTGGAGGTTTGGAGGTTTAGAGGTTTAGAGGTTTAGAGGTTTAGGGCTTAGAGGTTTAGGGGTTGAGGGTTTAGGGGCTGGAGGTTTAGGGTTTCCGGTTTACGGCGATGACGAGCGGTCTGGACTTGAGCTCTTTCTTTGGTGGCGCATCGTTGGTGATGGTGATGACGGCGTCCTTTTGTGATGCCCCACTTGAACTGCATGTTCACGTGCCCGTTCAACAACTTGTTGCCAAAGAAGAAGGACTGAACCTTCCTGTTGCCCACTGCTCTCCCTGAGTTTGTGAGTTGGCTTGAGGGTATTCAGCGTCATTGACGCTGACTGTGTGGTCCTTCCTGTTGAAGGAGACTGTGATCTTGAAGAAGTCGTCCTCCCTGGTGACGGTCTCAGCTCATCTTCTTTGACAAGTCAATCACTCAATGAAGTCGTCAATAAAGCCCTAAACCCAGAACCCATGTATAATTGAAGGATGCTGAAGGAAAATCTCTTTGATAGTTCAGAAGTATAGCAAGAAACCCTAAACCCTAAACCCTAAACCCTAAACCCTAAACCCTAAACCCTAAACCCTAAACCCTAATCCCTCTCTAGGGACCCTCGGGGCCACCACCCAGATCTCCGTCCGGCGCGGAAGGCTCACACCTTCCACGTTCGCAGACAAGGCCTCTCCTGGGATGAAGGTTGGGTTTAGGGTTTGGGGGTTTGGGGGTTTGGGGTTTGGGGTTTGGGGTTTGGGGTTCAGGGTTCAGGGTTCAGGGTTTGGGGTTTAGGGTTTAGGGTTTAGGGTTTAGGGTTTAGGGTTTAGGGTTTAGGGTTTAGTTTGGGGTTCGGGCAGACATCTGATTCGGTGTCCCAAGGGCAAAGCCTAAAAGAGGGACACGTATGAGGGACCTCAGGGGTGATGTAGGGGTTATATAAGTTGTATAAGCATTCCAGAAGGTATACCCTCAGCAGGGCCCACTCAAGGTTCGATCAAGCTTTGTTTCTGACTTTGGAGCATGCAGGAGTCCGTGCAACAATTACCCCGGCCTCCCCCCCCGGTACTCCCCCTAACCCTCCCCTTACCCCTCCTTAAACCCTAAACCCTAAACCATGAACCCTAAACCGCAGCTCCTACCCGCCCTACCCCCCATGCCCCCCGCCCCCCCCCCCCCACCAAGGCTTGGCATCAAAATCCTTGTAAAACGGTGTACGGTGAACACGGCGTTGGCTAAAATTATGACATTCGCCCCAACATGCGACCACCGCTCGGGGAACAGGGTCTAGGGTTCAGGGTTTAGGGTCCAGGGTTCAGGGTTCAGGGTCCAGGGTTTAGGGTAACCGTAACCTAAACCCTACACCCTAAGCCCATAAAAGACCAACCAGGCATCGTGACATGTCGTGGGACACGAAGTGAGTAGCACAGAGCTGCCCCTGCCAGGATACACGCAAGGGACCAAAGGAGGGACCCTTATAAGGGGCCTTCGGGGATTCTTTAGGAGTTTAGGCCTTGAAGGGTTTAGGGTTTAGGGTTTAGGGTTTAGGGTTTACGGTTTAGGGTTTAGGGTCTGGGGTTTAGGGTTCAGGGTGTCATTTAGGGACTACATGAGGTGTATATATATATATAAATATATAAGGGTGATATAGGGGAATAGATTAAGGGTCCCTTCTAGGGGTCCCAAATGATACCCCTTAATACAAGCGGCTGCGGTGGTCTACCTTGTAAGGGGTTCAGGGTGATAGGGTATGGGCTTTAGGCTCTAGGGTTTAAGGATTATAGTATTTGGGTTCGGCTTGCCTGGGGGCTTTAGGGCTGTAGGGATTAAGCTCAAAAGGCCAGGCTGCCAGGCTGTATAGTTTAGGGTTTAGGATTTCGGGTTTAAGGGCATAGGGTCCTGAAATTGCTTGTTTCAGAAACGCAGTGAAAGGGCGAGGTGCCTTGCATTTACAAGCGTTTCAGGGCACGTTGCAGCATGCTATGGATAAAAAAGGGCCCTGAGTACTCGAGCCAAGGGTAACCTGAGAAGACTCTTATTGGTTTACAGGGGGTTAAGCCCCCTAAGCCCCCTAAACCCCAAAGCCCCCATGAACCCTAAACCCTAAACACCCAAGCCCCGAAACCCCTAAACCCTAGACGCTGACCCTGAACCCCCGAAACCCACGAAACCCACTAAACCCCCTAAACCCCCTAAACCCCCCAGGCCCCCTAAAGCCCCTAAACCCTTAACCCGCTAACCTCTCCTAAACCTCCCTAGACCCTCCTAGGCCCTCCGACACCCTAGACCCCCAAAACCCCTCCTAAACCCCCCTAAAACCCGGAAACCCTAAACTCCTGAACCCCTGAACTCCCAAACCGCTAAACTATAAACCCTTAACCCTGAAAGCTTCTGAACCTTTGAAGCCCGACCGCGCCGGAGACTGCGGGCTGCGCAGGATGCAGAACTCGAGCGTCGAAGACTTGGAGGCTTTCCTAGAACTGCAGTAGGGTTTAGGGTTTAGGGTTTAGGGTTTAGGGTTCAGGGTTTAGGGTTCAGGGTTTAGGGTTTTGGGTTTAGGGCTTAGGGCTTAGGGCTTAGGTTTAGGGTTTGGGGTTTAGCGTTTAGGGCTTAGGGTTTAGGGTTTAGGGGCTTAGGGTTTTAGGGTTTAGGGGCTCAGGTTTATTTAGGGTTTAGGGTAACCCTAAAGCGCTGGCTACTTTCTTATCAAGGAACCCAGACCCCTAGAAAAGACAAAAGGCACCACCGGGCTATCAAGTGGGTCCTTTCGGGCTTTGGGGTTCAGGGTTCCGGCTTTAGGATTTAGGGCGTTTAGGGCTTCGGGCTTCGGGCTTATGGCTTAGGGCTTAGGGCTTGGGGCTTAGCAACAGGAGGGCGACGCAAACACTGCCAAGCGCACAATCCCGGTGTGGTTCTCTGAGGTGAGAATTTGGCGATCCAAGCCAAGACTCCTCGTAGTCCACCGGACCCTTCTGGCCGATGACTTCGCAGAATGCCCCCTGGTGGCCGCAGTCTACGGGATCGCGGTTTAGGGGGTCTTTGGAAAACTGGTGGATGAACTGGGCGACAACGGTCAGCTGCTGTGTGCTCAGGGACCTCAGGAACGACGCAGCGAGGGAAGTGCACCTCGACCCATCTCCACCAGCCGCCAATCGTACCACCACTGGTGCACTGGGTGCTTTCAAGCTACTGTATCCTGCCCTAAACCCTAAACCCTAAACCCTAAACCCCAAACCCTAAACCCCAAACCCTAAACCCTAAACGGCTACAGGGCGGAGGCACCTTGATCCGTAACCCCTGGTAGAGGTCGGCTTAGTGGCTTAGGGGGTTGGATCCAGGTTTAGGGCTTGGAGGAGGCATCTAGTGACCCCTTTGGGGTAAAGCGCTCCCTTGATGATTCTCAGCCAGATTTCGGGATGTTGAGGGTTGAGGGTGAACCAGAACCCCAACCCCTAAACCCTAAACCTTAAACCCTAAACTTAAACCCTAAACCCTGAACCCTGAACCTTCAACCCGAAGCCCCCATCTCAAAGCCCTCATCTCAAAGCCCTCCTTACGGACCATTGGTACGAAACTTTGGGGAATGAGGAACAAACAATTGCCCGAAGAAGGGTCTACTTAAGGGATATAAGGAGGGACCCCTAGAAGGCACCCTGACTCTTTTGCTCTTAGTAGCCCCGATATATACACCTTGTACTCTTATTCTCCTAGTAACCCCGATATATACACCTTGTATAGTCCCTACGTACCTAAGTACCCTGAGATCCCCTTAAAAGGGTCCCTTGTAGGGATCCCTTATAAGGATCCCTCCTGCCGTAAGAACCCCAGAGTTTGGGCTCAGGCTTTCGGGTTTGGAGTTTAGAGTTGAGGGTTTAGGGTTGAGGGCTTTGAGCTCAGGGCTTAGGGTTCGGGTTTCGGGATTAGGGGTCTTCAGGGAAGATATCCAAAGCAAGTCTTGAGAAGACAGGGTCTGAAGACCTCGACTTGAAAAACTGAACCCTGAACACGACCTAAACCCTCTCTTCGTTGTCCAGTAACCTGGGGGGAATTAGAGGTCAACCTTTGGGATTTTCTAGGGATTAGAATACCCAAGAGGTTAAAGGCTACCTACTCTACTACTACTACTGAGCTCTTCTCCTCCGCCCGGAAGCCTACACCTTCAACAGCCTAAACGTTCAGCAACTGAGAGCTTCCTGTACGACTAAACTCGACTTCGCCTCAGGCCTTGGGTAGGTATACCCTAAACCCTAAACCCTAAACCCTAAACCCTAAACCCTAAACCCCAGCATGCCGTCTAGGTGCCTACTAGTCTTGGGGTAGTTGCATGGCCTATGCAACCCAAGGGCCCCTACATCAGAACTCTTTAGAGGAGCGAAGGGACCATATTAAGGGAGCATGTATATGACTACCCTTGGAACTAGGTATTAGGCTTAGGGTTTAAGGTGTGAGCTCCACCCTTGAACCCGAAACAGTGAACCCTGAAAGCCTAAACCCCCCCAAAATCCGAAACACCCTGAACTCTAAACCCGAAACCCTAAATCCTAAACCATACACACCCTAAACTCCTAAACACCCTGAACCCTAAATCCTAAACCCTAAACCCTAAACCCTAAACCCTCAAGACAAATAAATACCCCAAACCCTAAATCCTAAACCCTGAAGGACTCATCGGTGGGCGCACGAAGTCTCAGACCGAGATGCTCCTTCGCCGCGTCTATGCCTTGGACATCTGGGAAGCAGGACCCGGCCCCCTATACCCTAAACCCTAAACCCTAAACCCTAAACCCTAAACCCTAAACCCTAAACCCTAAACCCTAAACCCTAAACCCTAAACCCTAAACCCTAAACCCTAAACCCAAGACCCAAAACCCTATTCTAACTATTAAGGCCCCTATACTACACTGGAAGATAGCGCAAACCCTACACCCTAAACCCTAAACCCTGAATCCCACATGGTCAAGCCCAGGCCCTGCTCCTGCTTGAGGGTATTGGGGCATATCACCAGTGCCGTCTGGGTGGCAGTTTCGGTCCGTAACGAGGCGTAAGGCCTCACCAGCGGGGGCAGTTGGGAAGCAGAGTCCCTAAAACCTAAACCCTAAAGCCTAAAGCCTAAACCCTAAACCCTAAACCCTAAACCCTAAACCCTAAACCCTAAACCCTAAACCTAGGGTGTAGGGTTGAAGACTTCAGGGTTATGGGTTTGGGGCTTCGGGTTCTTCAGGGTTTCCTGAATAAGGATTTGTTGGCATCCGTTTTCCTCCCTATATCGCATCCTGAAGGGGCCATCATGCCATATCTCCGTATGAAGAACCCAAAAGTAACCTTGGAAGCAAAAAGGGTGCCTGCATTGGTTTCAAGGGGAGTACACGGAAACCTAAACACTAAACAAAAGGAACAAGGGCCTACTCTGGGTCCTAGCCCTAAACCCTAAGCCCAATAAGGGCCTACTCTGGGTCCTGGTTAGGAACCTCTCACACTTGCGCCGCCAGAAAACTTACACGTGTGTCCTTGACAAAGATATTCCTGACCCTCTGCCGTGCTACGTAAAGGGAAAAAACGGACAATGACTCGTAGATCCCCGCCAGAAAATACGTAACTCTGCGTTCCTGTCCGTGCTGGGCTGCAGCAGCATATTCTGAATTCTCACAAGGGCCGTCGCGTCATCCACGCTCGGCCGCTTGTGCTTGAACACTGCTGGCGTCTGGGCATAGAGGACATAGTACTTCACCGAGCCTTTTTCCGCAAGGCGATGCGACTCATACTTGGAGGTTCGTGGTACTTATTAACCAATTACAACTGTACTTATAACTGTACTTATAACCATATTAGGGCACTTAGGGGGCTTATAAGTGCAGTTATAAGTACAGTTATAACTAGTTACTAAGTACCATGAACCTCCAAGTACTGCATGTACTCGCACACCGGCGGCAGTGGAACTCTCTTCGGGATTCGGTGAGAGCTCTAGTCACGGGCAAAGAGGCTAGGGCCATGAGTCATCTCGCAAGCGAATTTTTTCCAGACTGTCCCCAGTAGATACACAACCCTAAACCCTAAACCCTAAACCCTAAACCCTAAACCCAAAAACACGAAACCCCAACCCTAAACCCTGAACCCTACAGCCCTATACCCTAAACCCCAAAGACCCAGGCTCTGAGACACTCGGGGCCTTCCCATGCAGGATGGGAATTCCGGTCCTCGGCAGGTTTTTAGGGTTTAGGCAAGCGAAGGTTTGGGGATTAGGGCTTAGGGTTTGGAGTTTAGGGTTTAACGTTTAGGGTTTAGGGTTTGGGGTTTGGGGTTTAGGGTTGAAGGTTTAGGGTTTGGGGTTTAGGGTTTAAAGTTTAGGGTTTAGAGTTTGGGGTTTAGGGTTTAAAGTTTAGGGTTTAGAGCTGGGGGTTTAGGGTTTAAAGTTGAGGGTTTGGGGTTTGGGTTTTGGGTTTTGGTGTTTGGGATTTAGGGTTTGGGGCTCAGGCTGTAGGGCTTGAAGGCTTCTAGGCCTGGGAGTACTAGATTTAGGATCTAGGGCAGGCTTCTTGTAAGGCTTTAAGGTTTGGGATGTATGTGGGTTCGGCATTTTTGTGGGCGACCGGGCCCACTGCCAGCAGGCAGAGCGACATTCAGGGCGCCCCAATTTAAGGGCCAAGCAGTTTTTGGGGCTCAGATGCGGTTTTTTGGGAATCAGAAGCTTAGGATTTAGGGTTTAGGCTTGAGGGTGTAGGGTTTAATCTCAAGGTTGGGGATGATTGCAATCCAGCAACACATCCGTGTTTCTGACATCCACCACCGACGGGGTCGAGTACCAGCTTTCTCCCATGGACCTGGGCGATAGGAGTTTCGCGTTTGGCTTTTACCCTGGCCCAGGTTGCCAAACCCTAAACCCCAAACCCTAAACCCTGAACCCCAAGCCCTAAACTCTAAACCCCAAACCCTAAACCCTAAACCCCAAACCTCCTAAACCCTAAACCCTAAACCCTAAACCCTAAACCCTAAACCCTAAACCCTAAACCCTAAACCCCCCCATAAGAAAACCCAAGCCACGACTCCATTAGCCCAACTCGCGGCTGACGGTGGTACTAACAGAGTCCTTGAGGGACGGGGTAGGATGTAGAGTTTAGGGTTTAGGGTAGGTGCCTAGGGAAGCTTAGACAGACACACCCGCTTGAACCCCCTCCCTATAATCATAAAAGGCTCCGGAACCGAACCGAACCGCTAGAACCGAAACCGCCAAAAACCGAACCGCTGCGCGAACCAAACCGCCTTGAACATTTAACCGAACCGTTCCCCTAACCGAACCGCTCCCGTCCACACAGAATTTAAGGTGTAGTGTTGAGGGCATATCACTCATTGGGGCAGGCCGAGCACTAGAAGGCCTGGAGCCACCATCACAGCCAGGCATACCCACCTTTCGACAAAGTGTCATCTGTGTAGTCAACATAATAAATGGCCAGATAGTGTCGTCGACGTTTCGATTTGGGTTTCCACGTGTCGGCCATCAAGACAAACTTGGCACCAAATTTCTTCGCCTTGGACAGGTCTTCATGCATCAAGTCCCGAATCTGACTTGTGACGGTGTCCACCGTGCTCTTGCCAGCCAAGCTCTTCAAACGAGACCCCAGCGTTCCTCGAACATCATCTAGCAGGGAGACAGGATGAAGTTTGCCCAACATGACCACTTCTGCCCGCTGCGCGAGCAAGTCCGGATCGAAATTTGAAGGTTCGCCGTTGGCCTTCTCTCCAGACTCGGTCTTAGTTTTGGTACCGTAGGCCTCAACGAACGATCGAAAATACCCAACGATAACCAGGTGACCATAAACCCTACACACCCACACCCTAAACCCGTTTTAAAGAATACAAGGGCCATACTAGGAGCATATTCATGGAAACCTTTAGGGGTACAACCTTAAGGGTACGAGTCCTCATCCCTTGGAACACACCCTAAAACCTTGCTTGTCATACTCGGTCTATACAAGTGGTCCAAGCAGGGCCTAAGAAACCGGAAATCCGCGCGCTACTGAAGGTCCTCGGCTGAACCTCCCCCCCCCCCCCCTAAACTCTCAGCCCTAATCCCTAAAAACCCTGAAAGCCGATAAACGCTTATAAACCCTAAAAACCTATAAACCCTCCAAGCCTGTAAGCCCTATAAACCAGAAAACACTAAAGTTTAGTGACTAAACCCCTGAAGCCCTGAAACCCTAAAACCCTGAAACCCTACAAAGCCTATAAACTCGAGTAAACCCGAATAAACCCCAAAAAACCCTGAAAACCATAAAGCCCGAACAACCCTTAAACCCTAGTAAACCCTAGTAAACCCTAGTAAACCCTAGTAAACCCTAGTAAACCCTAGTAAACCCTAGTAAACCCTAGTAAACCCTAGTAAACCCTAGTAAACCCTAGTAAACCCTAGTAAACCCTAGTAAACCCTAGTAAACCCTAGTAAGCCCTAGTAAAACCCTAGTAAACGCTAGTAAACCCTAACAAACCCCCAAAAGCATCAACAAAAACACCCTAAAACCCCAAGCTTGAGCCGCTTTTCCCGCAACCTGGCTTTCGCTTGCGCAGGTTATGCGTTTGAGGACTCAGCGCTTCGGTTTCTGGTCTAGGGTTTAGGGTTTCGGGTTTAGGGTTTAGGGCTTAGGGTTTAGGGTTTAGGGTATAGGGTTTAGGGTTTAGGGTTTAGGGTTTAGGGTTTAGGGTTTAGGGTTTAGGGTTTAGGGTTTAGGGTTTAGGGTTTAGGGTTTAGGGTTTAGGGTTTAGGGTTTAGGTTAGGGTTTAGGGTTTAGGGTTTAGGGTTTAGGGTTTAGGGTTTAGGGTTTAGGGTTTAGGGTTTAGGGTTTAGGGTTTAGGGTTTAGGGTTTAGGGTTTAGGGTTTAGGGTTTAGGGTTTAGGGTTTAGGGTTTAGGGTTTGGGGTGCTAGAGTTTGGGGTTTGACATCTGGGCTTTCGGGCTCTGGGGCTCAGGGCAGTTCAGGGAGCACAAGCTATGACCATTCTGCCCAGGGCCTTTGCATGCGGTTTCGAGCTATTCCTGAAACCCTAAACCCTAAACCCTCGACCCTAAACCGCAGGGTTCAAGATTTACGAGTAGGGCTCAGGGCTTCCGAAGGCAACCCCTGATCCCGCGGCTAGGCACAGCCAAGTCGCAGCCAATACCGCACCGAGGCGTTGCTCAGATTCACCACCCGCATGCCTCGTAGAACCGGTTGGTGTCTTGGGTTTTTTTCTGGTGTTGGGCCCTAAACCCGAAACCCTGAACGCTAAACCCTAACCCCTACAAACCCTAAACCGTAAACACTAAACCCTGCGTAAGGTCTCTAAGTAAAGCTCTACAGTAGGGGTTTTGGTCTCAGGGCTGTAGTTCCCCTGTGGTTAGGACACCCTAGACGCGAAAGCTTCTTGATTCTCCAAACCCTAAATCCTAAATCCTAAACCATAAACCCTAACCTATAAAAGGAGAATGTACGGTGAAGAAGTCGTGACATGCGGATGAAGCGCAAGACCGAGGCCGTAGCCCCGAGGGGGAGAGGCAGTGTCTTAAAACAGGCCACGCCCCCCGCGGTGTGGATTTAGGGGTCCGAGATAGGATTTCCCTTTCTGAAGCCCTAAGCCCGAACGTTTAGGGTTTAGGGTTTAGGGTTTCGGGTTTCGGGTTTAGGGTTTAGGGCTTAGGGTTTAGGGGTCAAGGGGTAGGGGTTTAGGGTTGAGGGTTTAGGGTTTAGCTCGAGGCCCTAAACCCTAAACCAACAATAACCAAATATGTTCCCACAGAGCAGCACTCTGGCCTAATAGGCACCCTGAGACCCTAAAAGGCCTAAACCCGACCCCAAGCCAACATTGGGTTTAGGGTTTAGGGTTTAGGGTTCAGGGTTTAGGGTTTAGGGTTTAGGGTTTAGGGTTTAGGGTTTAGGGTTTAGGGTTTAGGGTTTAGGGTTTAGGGTTTAGGGTTACAAACCCGCTTGATCTTGTGCTGGGGTTGAAGGCCAAAGCTCTCCACCTGCGACGGAGGATATGCAGTACCCTTTAAGGGTCTCTGCTCTGTCTTCCAGAGCCACCTTGCCTCGAGTGAGCATCAAAAGGTCTTTCCTGACACGCCCAAGAAGTTGGTCAGCTCGGACCCAGACAGGAAGCCACTTTAGGGTTTGGGGTTCAGGGTTTAGGGTCTAAGGTTTAAGGTTTAAGGTTTAAGGTTTAAGGTTTAAGGTTTAAGGTTTAAGGTTTAAGGTGCGATCAAGCTTGACGCGGCCGAGATTGGGGGATTTCACGTGGGCTCTGTCGGCAGCACCTTCTTCTTCTCGGCTCCGGCTGCCTTGAACGCAGCCTTGAAGTTGAGATCGGAGGGTTCATGGGTAGTTAGAAGCAGGGTTATAAGCAGAGTAATTGTACTTATAACTCTAGTTCGGGTACTTTTGACTAGCCCTAGACCCTAAACCCACTAAGCCCTCTAAACCCTCCAAACCCTCTAGACCCTCTAAACCCCCCAAACCCTCTAAACCCACTAAACCCTCTCAACCCTCTGAACCCACTAAACCCTCCAAACCCTCTAAACCCTCTAAACCCTCTCAACCCTCTCAACCCTCTGAACCCTCTAAACCCTCTAAACCCTCTAAACCCTAAACCCTCAAAACCCTGTAAACCCTCTAAACCCTAAACTCTCAACCCTAAACCCTAAACCCTAAAACCTAAACCCCTAGCTACCCACCCTAAACCCACGCTTTGCTTGCAGCCAGCTCGCTGGACGGAGGCTTTGTCGGCATGGCGATGAT